CGTCCGTATATTGCATTGTGATACTATTGCTTTTGCAATGATCAGTGATATTTTATATGAGCCTAGTCGTAGTTTGGCAATGGAGAATTGTGAAATCAGTGTACTTTCAATGTTTTTGATAAATTAATAGAATACCACCCCAAAATACTAAAGCTTTACATAAAACATACAAGGCAGCTTTCCATACAAACTGGCGAAACCCATAACAAATGTTTTAAAATCACTCCTTGGAACAATCTGCTTCTCACATATTAAAAATTCAAGCAACCTAATTGAAAAATTAAGTGGAATAAAAATATAACAGAAAACCTCATGGTTAGTTTAGATGTCAAAACCCTTTTTCGCAAACGAGGAGGGGAAATTGGAACACGATTAAAAAAAGATTTTGTATTTTGTTTTTAGTCGTTAATTTATTTATAATTAAAATCTATTTTAATCGTCTTCCAATTTTCCCTCCTCATTCGCTTATGTGTCTTTCATTGTTTCCTGCTTCTCGACAACATTCACCTTTTGAGAACGTGTTGGACGTCCATTCTATTTAAGTCTATTTTCTTCTTCTGTGGGTACAAGTCTTTATATATATATATATATATATTTCTATATAGATATATGTGTGTGTGTGTGTGTGTGTGTGTGTGTGTGTGTGTGTGTGTGTGTGTGTGTGTGTGTGTGTGTGTGTGTGTGTGTACGTACATGTCGTTGGTGGAACTCGTTGCTGGGTGGCTTATCGATATTTCCTTCTGTGTGAGTCCTATGTTGGATCTGAAGAGACTTTCTGCAACCACCACATGGTAGGACGGTTCAGGGGATGTAGAGCTCTGGTTGTTCTTTGGTCTCTTTCACTCATTTCTAATTGTTTTCTGGTGTTTTCAAAGAATATTGTTTTGTTTTTTGTTTTTTTGCAGACTGTTCTTCACCAATTGGTTCTTTCTGCAGCTTCCGTCTCCCAATTGACCGGATCGATTTCTGCAAGGTGTTTTTGACCTGATTCTTGAATCGACGACGTGGAACTCCACGTGGTCTCTTAGCAGATGCGAGCTCATAGGAGAGGATTTGTTTGGGTTGGGGGATGTCTGGCATTCAGGCAAGGTGTCCGGACCAGAGAGGGTCGGTAGCGAGTCACGATGGTTTCTAGGCTCTCCATCTTTGTGCGGAAGAGGACTTCGTTGTTTACCACGAAGTTTCGTTTGAAGGAATCTTTTAAGTTTGCGAAAGTCACTTCGATAGAATACCTAACAGGAGAGTCGAGATTACAACAGCTCCGTAGACCATGAACTTGCTAGTTATATATAGACACACACGTATATATATATATATATATATATATATATATATATATAGATAGATAGATAGATAGATAGATAGATAGAGAGAGATGTTTAGGTAAATTTAACAGAGAAGATCTCTCTGTTAACTTTTTTATTACATTATCCAGTTTTTAAATAAGTTGTATATCAGGATCAAAATTGCGGACAAGCTGTTCGAAGTTCATGTCTGTTTTGTTTCTTTCTTTCGACCGTCTCAGTGATTATCAAGAACTGTGTTTTGTCTATGTGGTAGACAGGCATTTGCATAGAATCAATCCAAAGTGAAGTCATGTATAGCGGTTTAAAAGAGTTAAACTGCACCAGAAAATCCTGTATGACCGACACATTTTTCCACAATAAAGGTAAGTATATGTCTCACTACTGCAGCATGAACACTGCGATATTGGCAAATCCTGATTTACCTCTTGCTCTGAAGTTATAATGACAGTCATTGCCAAGTTTTTGATTTAATATATGGTTATGCATTCTTAAAAGATTGAAGTAAAATGTTTTCCATTTAGATCTGAATTTTGCCAATTATTTTCATATATATAAATATATTTTTGCCAACTCTTCTCATATATATATATATATATATATATATATATATATATATATATATATATATATATATGTGTGTATGTGTGCACGCGCGCGTGTGTGTATAAACATTTTTAGTAAACTTAATGACAAAGTGTAAATAAAGGAACGAGGGATATAAAAACAGACGTTGCTTATAATCATTCATAATTAGGAAACGCTGAAAATGTTGGAACGCTGACATTTTTAGGCTTTTAAATGAATTTTTAGCGTTTTTCATGTCTATGATAACATGACTAACATATACACATATTGGTAGCACTTTGGATCCTTTGTTCTCAAACTTAATATACTTAGAACATAAAATGTTCAATAAAATCAATAAATCAATCATATATTTTAAATACAATAATATTTTAATTTCAGCAGAATATTTAAAACAAATAGTTGAATGAAATTTTGTTTTACATACAAATTAAAAATAGTAAATATTAATTGTTAACAATCATTTTCCTATAGGCCTTATCGATTTTAATAGTTATATTTTTATTACCTCTCTTCATAAAAACTGTTATATTTTTAGCTCTTCACTTCTTAATTAAAAAAATGAATCCCCATATTATAAAATTGTAATAGAGTGAAAATAATCTCTTCTTCTAAGGCAATTTTCTAGAAAGAATTAAGTAACATTAAACAAACACTCGCCAATAATGGCTTTCAGGTTATATCATTGTTGAACAAATAATGTTTTCTAATAGTGCCGAGGGTGAACGACACAATTATTTTCGTTTCTGCTTATCTGATGAACTATAAACAAGATGAAGCAGCTGTAAAAATATAATTCGTAGATAAAGCCTACAATTAAAAGAAAGAATTTATCTAAACTCAGCATAAAATTTGTCACAATTGCATCTAAACAATAAAAGACTTAATTAATACAAAACAAAATAATAAGTTAAAACGTGAAGGATGAATTTACTCTTACCTATAATAATTGCCACAAGCAATACACCAGAGAAACCTCAAGGAATTTAAATAAAAGATTATATAAGCATTAAGGGAATCTCTTTCAAATCAACACATTAAATGCACTATTTGCTCACCGTAACGAGACTGACAATTTTGGTTAAAAAATGCTACAATAATTAAAAGAGAAGACAATTTATTAAGACGAAAATGTTTAGAAAATGTTTTAATCGCTAACTCATCCAGAATAAATTTGCATCCAGTTTCTTACAATCTTTAAAGGACGAGACGCCTCATATATAAACTTTTACCACTTTGTTATAATTCTTTCCCCTAAAATTGTTCTTCATATAAAATATTTTTCTACATGTATTTGTTTATATATATATATATATATATATATATATATATATATATATATATATACACACACACACACACACACACACACACACATACACATATATATATATATATATATATATATATATATATATATATACTGACATAATGATATATAAATTTATATGTCAAGAAACTGTATTGAGAAAATAGTACGACAAATTAGGACTTCATTGGACTGAGCTTTGTTGATGTTGCCACAACTACTTAAGAGTATTTTAAGAGTATTTACACGAAGTGGGAAAATATATTGAAAATACTTTCAAGAACCTTCAATACCCTAACTATTTCATAGCTATGTTTTTCGAAACAATAGGCTCATGAAATATTTCAAAATAGAATATATATCTTTCTTGACAAACCCAACAAATAAAAAAAAAACATATTATTCTCCCCACTAACGATATCACATCTACAACCGAAAAGAATTTATATAAACTCAACATAAAATTTGCCACAACTAAAACTTTGCTAAAACAATGACTGAATCATAAAATACAAAACAACAAGCCCAAACTTGAAGGAAGAATTTACTCTATCAACTGCAGGATTTGTCAAAAGGAATATATTGGAGAAACCTCAAGAAGTTCAAACAAAAGACTATATGAACACAAAAAGGATATTTTAAAAAACAACAGACAAAACACATTGGTTGTTCACTGTAATTATTTATGTTTATACATTCTTTTTATAGATACAAATTTCCTAAAATAATTGTCGGACTTTGTCCATTTCATAATGTGTGACGTCATGTGTTTACATTTGGATACGCTTTGAGCAGATGTGAATGTACGTGAGAGATTCATGGAAGATTGAAGTTTAAAGGCAGTAAATTCGATCTTGCTAATCAACCGATCCTCTGTGGCCCGATCGGTTAAGAACACGTCAGGTTAAATGACGGTTCCGTATAGGATACAGGTTCGATTCCATCTGTTATCCGAAAATTAGCCCGAAAAAAGAAGCTATCTTTTCCACTGACAGAACAAATATTTTCTATGAAAGTTTCTCGGCCATTAAGGCCGGCAAATGTTATAAATACTGCTTATTATAAAACAGAGCATATACTTAAATATTTGTATCGATAAAAAGAATGTATAAACATAAAAATGTCTTTATATATACTGCCACTGGTAAATCGCCTTTCTCATAATCTATCTAAAAACAGGGGTTTAAATAAATCAATTTTATAAAAAGATCATTGTAAAGAAAGCTATGATTTCTATTGATCAGTTTTTTTTTCATTTTGATAGTTGACGGACAAACATTCATTGGCGATTGCTACAACTGCTACTACTGAAATTTTTGTTCATTTCCTATTCGATGTCAGAAAATGGAAAATCAAAATTGTTTAGCACTCTCAGGAAATATATTTTCACAAAGCTAAATACAATGACTTATACGTGTGTTTTCATTTCTCTCCCAGCTCCCAAAATCTACTTTTCTTAATACAATGGCTATCATTATCTATAATTTCCGGCAAATCTTAGGTCATTTCTTAATCAAATGACTGAATGCATCTGTTATCCGAAAATTAGCCCGAAAAAAGAAGCTATCTTTTCCACTGAGAGATGTCGTTTGAAAGTACTGAGGTGAAAATTCAGCTGCAACGAAGAATTTTTTACTCAATTCCCAAGAAGAAAAAGGTCTGTTGGATTTAACGAACGCAAAGCGAATATGAAACCTGACAATTGAATGATTATAGATTGCTAATCTAATGATTGCCATTTAGTGGGCAAAGGCGGGAAACAAAGGACTGTGGCAACGTTGAGTCGATTATAAAGACTCATGGGATTTGTGCGCTGTTTATCGTATGCCATCGCACCAGGGGCAAGTTTTGTCATTTATTCAAACTTTAACTGTCTGTTTCTCTATTATCACAATATCTGCGGCTTTCGTTGTCACAGCTTATCTATCTCACTCTCCACAAATCTATCTATCTATCTATCTATCTATCTATCTATCTATCACAATCTGATCGATTTCAGCCGCTATACTTTTACTGTTTCTAATTTAATCTATTTTGCACTCGTGGTTTTTATATCTTTTATTTTCTTTATTTCTTACGTTATTTTCTAATATTTTTATATTTCCTATATTTTCTGGTTCATATGCATTTGTTACTGTAATTTTACTTGTTCTGAGTAATTAGTAGTAGTAGTAGTAGTATTAGTGCTGTTGTAGTTCACTAATTGAGTGTTCACACGAGTGGTAACTATTAACTTACACTGGAGATCAAGTGACAACAAGTCTCCTCAGTACTCCAGCATTCTACTTCGAATTCTGGCTCTTTTCAGTAATGTTGTCGTATGATTTGCTTCATTTCTTCCTCAGATTTTCAGTTCTTCCTGTCTTTCACCAGGCTCGTTTAGGATCGGTTCAAGCGCTCCAATAACAACGAAAAGAAAAATTATTGCTATTGAATCTTACTTCGCACGATCTCCTTTCGGATAAACAATATGACTTCCGTTTCTTTCGGTCTACCGCCGATATGTTAATGGCCATCACTGAATGTTTCTATCAAGCTTTAGATAAGAACGGCGAAGCTCGGGCTGTTGTCCTAGATATCCCAATTCATTTTCTTCATCAAAGACTTTCCCGATGTCATCAGTTCCTAACTAGGTATCTCTGCGGATGACACAACTATTTACTCCTGTCTTAGTAGCAAGACCGACAAATCCAACAATGTAAAATCGGCAGCTGCTCTCGTAAAGGACTTCCAATCAATGCTTAACTGGAGAAAGGAATTGCTTATAAATCTTAATGCCCCCAGAACAAAACTGCTTTCATTTAATCGCTGATGCTAAACTCCAGAAGATCAACACATTGCACCTTTTTGGCCTGACATTTTCCACCGATATAGATTATATTGAATCAGTTGCTAGATCTACTGATAGGAAAGTTGGTCCACAATGTCCTGTCAGACATTTCTTCTCGTCTGAAACCTTGCACATTTATAAATCTAGCATTCGTCCATGAATTGATTACTGCTTTTATATTTGGTCTGGTGCTCCTACTATATGCCTCGAGATTCTTGATAAAATTCTAGGAAATATCAGTTATGTAATCGATCCTGACCTGGCATCTCGACTTCAGTCATTTTCTTACCCTCGTAACGTGGCTTCCTGTCTTTTCCCCAAATATTTTCATGGCAATTGTTCTGATGAGTGTTTCTCTTTAGTGCCACGGCTACATGAATTTAAACGCGCCACTGGATTGACAAGAAGGTATCACCATTTTACTAACGAGATGCAAATGTTAGTTCTATTCTAATAGTTTCTTCTTCTTCATGCCTGTTGATTTCTCTTCCGATTTCAAAAATTTGAATCTACATCAATCGCAATCTTCTGTTTCCTGAATGAATTCTTTTACTTTTTTGTTCTTTTCCTCACTTCTCTTCACTAAAGTTTTCTCATTCATTTTCGCTTCCTATGAACCTCCACCTGCGTAACCCTCGGCGTCCTTGTGGCATTATCGCCTTTCCTGAGGCGAAATGATTTTAAAAAAGGTTTTCTTAATGTTCTTTTTTGTTCATACATCGAGCCGAATCCACCTTATTGGCGTAGGGCCTTCAAGAGGGAGTAATGGTTTTATTTTATAGATAGAGACTTCCTTAATGAGCTCAGTGCCGAGAAGGGCGATCTTGTGGAATTCTTGCATTTTGAAATTTCCAGCACTTTTGTATATTTCCACCCCTTCCTTAGTCAATCCGAGAAAACCCATTACCACTGCTTCATACCGACATGTTCTCAATTTTTATTTCTATATTTAGAGAGGTTTTTTTTCTGTTGCTTTCAGGGAGGTCTTTCTTTCGGTAGAGGCATACATGTTGATGATCAAACAATTTCTTTCCTTCTTGCCCTACAAGACAATATCAGGTCTGTTCGTTTTTATCAGTTTGGATTGAAATATGCTAGAGAATAGTAGCTTCATTGTTTTATGTTACCATTGGTGGCTCATATCCATATTATTAGTCTTTGATTTCGATGTTTTAATACTTACAGATTGCCCAGAGAAGGTATGCTATGACTTTTCTGTGCCTTTGTATGTATTAAGCTTGGTCCAATTATTTTTTTTTTTTTTTTTTTTCTTTTGATTTCTGGCGTTTACACATTTATTTCCGGGTCCCGCCCAGGGACCTAAGGTTAGAAATGGCATCATGACACTTTCCACTGACAAAAAAAAAAAATAAAATTACATAGATAAAGACCTTCGTAAAATGTGGGCTGTACTTGTCAGAACAATTTTTTGTATCTCCTTGAGGCATAGATTTCCAGGAATCCCTTCAATTAGTCTACTGCAATCTTTTTCAACCAGTCCTAGGGCTCCAACTACAACAGGGATTGTTGATGTTCCCATATGCCACATTTTCGAGATTTCTATTTCAAGGTCCTTGTATTTTGACAACTTTTTGAATATCTTCAAAGATACATTGCAGTCAGCAGGGACTTCCATATCAATAAGAAGGCACTTTTTTTGTTTGTGGTCTTTAGTAACAATATCTGGGCGGTTGGTTTTGATTGTTCTGTTACTGTGTATTGTGTACGCCCATAGAATTGTAACAGATCCTATCTCCGTAACAGGGTCTGGGTGGTGTTCATACCATTTTCTTTCAGTTTCCTTCCGTAGAAGTTGCAGATTTTCCAGTGCAGATACTGACCCACTCTGTCATGCCGGGTTTTATATTCAGTGGGTGCCAATATCGTGCAACCTGATACAAGGTGATCAATCGTTTCTGGATATTTATCACAAAATCTGCATTTTGGGCTGACACAATATTTTAGTATATGTGCTTGATAATTCCTAGTTAGCAAGCATTGGTCCTGTGCAGCAAGGATGAAACCTTCAGTTTCAGCTTTCAACCCTGTACTATGTAGCCACTGATGGGTACGGGTTTTGTCTACGTCAGCTTGTTTGGTAAGGGCAGAGTATTGGCCATGAAGCGGTTTATCTTGCCATCACTTCTGTATCTGGTCGGTTGCATTCGTCTTTACTGTTTTTTTTTTTTAAAGTATTTTGCAGTTTCGGCCGGTGTATTGTGCTGTAGTTGCATCTCTACGCCCATTTGGAATTCCATTTTGATTATTATTATTATTTACTTTCTGTTTAGCACAACCTTTACTAAACTTTTACCCACGACCTACAGTATTAAATATATGCATTCCGTTGCCCAAATTCTGATGCTAACTGATATTTAACATGTGCAGTATTTATTTTTGATTTACATTGAAAATACTCTCCTGAGTGGATGAGTAGTCCCAAATTATTTAAATCTCTTTGGAGTGATGGTTGCCAGAGAATATTTTTAATGGCCTTTGCAGAATCTTTTTTCTGGTCGTACTCAAACCTCTAATTATTATAGTTTAACAATAGTTTTAAGGTGTCACATTTTTTTTTACTTTCAATTTCAAAATTCTTATATTTGCTTATTTTGTCATATTCTTTAACAGATATATTTTATCTGATAGAACTGCCATATCTATGAATAGCCGTTTTGTTTATTGTTGTTGCTGTCGTCATTGCTCTTGTTGTTTTCCTAACAGTCTATCAAATCGGTGATTATGTTAGCGGCATGAACAATTGCAGTTGAAGTTAAAACTCTAAGCCTAAATCGAATTTGCAAATTCCCTGTTTTATAACAGAAGCTCATTTCATGACAATACAAGCATTGCTACTTAAATTTACTGCCTATTTTGATCATTAAAAGATAAATAAAATTTATTTTGATCATTAAAAGATAAAAGATAAATATTTGTAGCTTGATAGTAAATACTCTAATTTAAGTTAGAGTATTTAGGATTATGCATCAAATATTAAAGAGTTCTTTGTGTTTTAATGACCATTATCCAATATATTCATTCTTTTCTCACTTTCTACATCTTTACACTTTCTATGACCACGTCGTTTTTCTTCTAATCATTCATTAAGCATATCTCTCCTTCACACACATGCACACACATTCTATTTCTATCTCAATTTATTTCTCTATCTTCCTTTTCCCTTTTTTCTCTTTTTCTCTTTTTCTTTTCACAGTTGGCCCTTTTTTTCACAAACCTGAGATACGTATGTATGAGTGTGTGTGTGTGTGTGTGTGTGTGTGTGTGTGTGTGTGTGTGTGTGTGTGTGTGTGTGTGTTTTGTGAAAAACTGCTGTTAAGATATGATAATTGCCACCGAATGAAGTATGAGATTATGATTATACACACATCATGTCATCCACTGCAAATGGATGCAGACGACTTTTACGGCACAGTCATGTCTTGTCACTTTCATGGCGCATGGCATATTTGAGGAGAAAATGAAAGTGATGGTGCGTCAGTTCCTTTCTCTTTGACTTTATACGCTCAGTTACCGAAGAAGAATGTCAGCATATTGGCAACCGAGTGCTCATTTACTATAAATGACGATACCTCTGAGGTTAGTGCGTTTAAAGTTCATATATTTATCTTGTTCGCTCTCTATCTCTCATCTCACTCTCTTTCTCTCTCTGTTCCTTTCGTTTCTTTTCTCACAGTATTCTTAGTAAGATCTCTGTATTACAATACCCCATTTTTCTCCTCCTTTCAAATTAACTATTCTTATATCTATTCTGATATCTATTATTTTCATCTGCCTAGAAACCACTTTCGTCTCTTTCTTTTTTTCTCTCTCCACACTTTCTTGCTTTCTCTTTCTCCAGTTTCTCTTTTTCTGGCGCTCCCCTTCCTTTGCCTTCAATCTTCCCCAATATGCATGAACACCGTATCCCACAAATACCTCTCTATCGTAGTCTCTTCCGTCCTTCTGATATGTTTAATGCAATCTGTTCTCGCCTTATCTTTACGTCAAGCCGCCAATATGGCCAGTCAAAAACGCGGGAAAAATTGTCTCTTTATGTTAATGAAATCGCTTTAAAGCGAATCGTGGCCGTTTAGATGTGTGGTTCGCGGCCATTTACGACTGCGCTCAAGGGACCCTGTAGGATTACCAGTGACAGGACAATAAGCTGAGCGACGAATTCAGTAACCACGAATATAGAGTGAACTGAAAAGGGCAGATGGCAAGATCTCCCCACTTTGCTATAGTATCACTCTCTCCACCAACTATTTTTTAACAATATGAGTTTTTTTATGGATTGAAAATAATTTGTCTAACTTACGATATCTATAATCATTAGATTTGGTGGAATCTCTTCTCTCTCGCTCTCTCTCTCTCTCTCTCTCTCTCTGTATATATATATATATATATATATATATATATATATATATATATATATATATATATATAGTTCTCTGTCTTTTTTTTCTTTTCTATCTCAGCTGAAATGTACCCATGAATACAACTTCAAACACTTTCCATATAACTCAGCGAATTGAACAGATCTTCTTATGACAAAGCTTTTAGTTTTCACTGTTTATTTTTTAATCACCAGATCTGCTGGAAATATATTTTGACAAATATTACATGTTAATATTTTGGTAGGTGTTATTAGAACTTCAAGTCCTGTGTTTCCCTGATAGTCTGCCATGATGGATCTATTATATGCGCGCTTTACTCTATAAATTTATCATATTCAAAGAAAATGCTGCCATATCCTCTTTGGAATAAAATGGCATTGTTTCTAATTAACAGAAATAAGAGATTATTTTAAGATAGCCATCCAAATTAAAACTTCTTCCTTTTTTTTTTTTTTTTTGCTTGTTATTTACAATTCAGTTTTATTAATTTAGAATTGCATAATTTACTTTTAATTATAATAATTAATAACTTCTCTTCTATCGGAAAGTGATATTTGGCAGCTTTTGCTAATTTGAAAGATTACTTTGAGCTGACGAAACCAGGAAATTGCGATAATCATTTTGGTTAAAATTAAAGCTTGCTTAAATGAAAAAACGTCTATATTTCGATCAAAGGCAAATTCAGTTCTTTGAATTCAAAGCAATGTTATTAATACTCTTGGTATGGCTAAGTAGAATGTGAGAAATAAGATTACTGCGTTGTACACAGTGATTGGCCAAGACTAAATTCCTACTCTTTGCTCTGAATTCATTAACACACACACACATGACTACTCCAGTAGGGAGAGTCTCAGGAATAAACATTAAAAATCCCTTTTTTCTTTTCAAAATATCACTGAAATACATGTCGCAAGTTGTTTAATATTCACAGTTTCGTTTACTTTTGTAGATCGCCACGACTTTATAAAAATCAAGTTTTAGAATTTAGTTTATTAAATTATTATATAACTTAGAATAGGAATTTTTGAATGAATATATACAAACTGTGTTAAATAGAGCTGGTCAAATATTATCACAATCAGAAATATTGTTCTGAATCTTTTCATTATACTTCTTTCGTTTATGTGTCATGTTCCATCAGGACATAGGCGATTATGCCACTCCACAAATTCGTAAGACTAATTTCCTCAAAAAAAAGATCAATAAACTTGTATATATGAAGTTTATTAAAACAAAATCTTTCATTTTTGTGATCAAACGGTAATTATTAAATTAATAGAAATTGTCTGAGAATTCATTATTTTTGGCTTAACCTAACAACAATGTACTCAGAATATAAACATTCCGATTGGCTTGATGGAAAATTTGAGTGGATTAATTTTAAATCCCCAATTACTACAAATATTGAGAAAACGACTCGAATCTTCTATGATTTTATAAAAGTATATCCTTTATTCAAATAGACATTAATGATAGAGCATTTATAATACTAATGAAAGCCATATTCTCAATGGTCCTGCGCTACTTGAGTTATTTCCAATTAAATTTTTTTATTGTTTTTTAACGTTGTACTTAATGTGTGCATCCTACTTCTTTTGGAAAGTATCACTCAATTTCTTCTCGTTCTAGGTATGGATATTATATCAGGATTCAGTGGGGCCTCTAGATTTCGATGGCAGTCAGTTTAGGAGAAAGATAATTTTGAATTCAACACTGCGGATAAATTAAGAAGAACCTACTTTCTTTCTAAAGAAGACCTAGAAATCCATTGATAGTAAAGAAAAAGAAATCTGTGAAAGATCATGATCTCTGAAGGAAGATAACATTTGCAAAGAAAAAATTATACTCCAACAATTTTTGTCTGTAAGGAATCAAAAACGATATTATTTAATTTTTTCAAAAATCACGTATTTTCCCATTCAAAATTTGTGAACAATTTGCTTATCAAACGAATGTTTAAATAACTGGACTTCATGACGACATTTCAAGACAAATTACAATTCTTTGTTAGAAAGTGAATGCAAAAACACGAAAAAAATTTCACATGTAAATTTTGCGCCTATAAAACTTTTAACAGTTTCTGTAAAAACCGACTAAGTATAGAAATATGAATTGATCAAAGTGTGTTGAGTCGATCAGCTGACCCAGATAATCTAACTTAACAGCGTATATTGAAAAAGAAATTGATATCCAACAGCCGCCTGTAGGTTACATCTTCCTTTTCTGTTTCATTAAAGACAGATCTTGAAGCTTTTCTGTTTTCGTTAATTAACTCACTGGCTGGAAAAGATGAAAAAATAGCGTAGCTCATTGTGTACGTGGAGGAGTTCATTTAAAAGTATGAATAAATATAAGTACTCGCACACCAACACATATAACAGCACATAGTGAGATGCACATGAGATAGAGACAAACATGAAGATTATGGAGTGCATAACGCCCACTTACACTCAGAAATAACGTGCCTGTGTACATCCATACATGGGCACATACATGGCGTAGATGGAATAAAAATTTTAATCATGACCGCTTTCTCGGGAAATACAATATTTCATTTGTGTTCGTAAAGATTCAAAATTAAAAACTCAAAAATAGAAAACAACCAAATTTCGAGCATCGCTTTTGTTTTGTTTCCTTTTTTAGGCTTTTAAAGAAAACTTTATTAGAATTAAAACCAAATTGTATTGACCTTTTTTTTTCTCTGTTCCTTTCCTTTAACGCTTTCCTATTACTCTCTTCATTTTCTGTTTCTAATATTTCTCGCTCTTCTACTCCGAACCACATTTTACTTAGCTTTCTTTTTTCCGTCTATATTTCTGAGATGAGTTATTGTAACTATTTTTTTTATCGTTCGGATTGTTGTCCGCGCATTTATTGCCATATCCACGACGTTTCGGCCTTCTTCAGGTGATATACGTTGAATTTCGAACCAAATCCTTTATTTAGTCCATATGGGTAGATTGTTCTAGTTCCACATGCCATGCCTTTTTGGGATGTCTCAGTTTCAGTTAATTCCCTTTAGTAACTCAACTCTCTAGATTCTTTCCCTCTAATATGGCTAGGCATTGAACTTACAACTCTTTGGTTCAAGTCACTTTTTGGATTACTCAATCAACGTTGTATCCTTCAGCACAACAGTGAATGAATTTTGAGAACTTATAGACCTAATGTCTCAGTAAACATTTTTTAACGGAGCTTATATTGCAATATTTTTTGTTATTGTTGTTTTTCTCTTGCTCTCAGTATTACTGATCACCATACTGTATTCATGTCTATTCTTGGCCGGCTTAGGAGATTTTTGTGACCTAGCATATGTGCTGATTGCTTAAGTTTTTGTATTTTCCAGTGATGTTCTCTGTCTATTATTTCAGCTTCATCCAATAGAGGGCGTTGATCTCTCTTTTCCTTCCATATATAGTCAATAACTCCCACTTTTCTATGTCTATTTATATTTCGATATGTGCGAGGGTGTACTCATGTGCGCGTGATCACACAATAGAAAGTGTATATATGAGTGGGTTTAATTTTTAGGGTGAGTTCATGGCTATTTCTACTGGAATACACTTATATTTATGTATGTGAATACTTTATGTCATTTTGACAACTATAAAACCGCTTTATTTTTATGTCATTTTACAAGCATAAAATCACTTTAAAAACAGTGAAAGTTACTTGAGAAAGTTATAACTATATTTTATTAAATTGTGTATAATCCATGCTACTAAGCATTAATTACAAGTCATTTTTTCTTCCTTTTAACTTCACTTTTCTTCACTGGCCAAAATTTTCTAAAGAAATATTTGCTTTCTGGCCATCTTTCTATCTTCACATTTTCTATCAAAAATAGAAACCTCATTTTCTTTCACCTCATCACATGCCTCCTCTGATCGATTGAGTTTCTCTTTTGATTTGAACTAACCAAATGCATTTCAACGTAACTGGCATTACTCAAGAAAATACGTCTCTGTTTTGAAACTATAATTCGAATAATATCATGAGACTGATGCACCATCATGGCGCTTTTAACCTTGTTTAGGTCGGGGTGGGGGGATTTTTGTCTTAGTTTTACTTCAATATTCTCAATTCGTGTGTATTTCTTCGTTGCAAACTTTATTCAGTTTTCTGTCTCATCGTTTGTTATTTTCTGACTCTTTCTCGTTAAAATCTTTTTTCACCTTTCCTTCTTTGTCAAATCTCTTCTCGATTTGTTAATTCTTTCTCCTTTTTTATCTGATCTCTACCAGATTTTTTCTCGTTCTCATCCATTCACGTTTTTTTTTTCTATTTCTGATTTATTCACAAGTTTTGAGCCATTCTCAACTTTTTCCTTTTCCATTACTTCTCGTTTTTTCATTTTTTTTTCTTCATTGATTTTCTCATTTGTTTTTGTTATCCCTTTTTTATTTTTCCTTTCACATTCCTTCTCACTTTTTCTTTCAGATTCCATTTCATGTTTTTTTCATAATTCCTTAATGTTTCGTCTTTTTCAGTCCTTTTGTTTTTCTCTTTTTGATTCCACCCAATTTTGTATTTCTCTTTTTCTTGTATGATTCATTCTTGCTTTCTTTTCTTTTTTCCTCCTCCTCCTCTTTTTTTTTTATCTTAATCTTTGTCTATTATTCTTTTTCTCCCGTTTCTCATTTACTCTTTTTCTCATACAATTCTCTGTTCTTTTTATTTTCTTTCTATTCATTCTCTTTTTCTTTCCCTGTTTTTTTTTTTGTGGCTTATGTCGTTGAGTTTGACTTTTCTGTCCATCATTTATTATTTTATCTTACCTGATGGTCTACTTTATTGTCATAAAATCAAACGACTATTCATTAAACATTCCATATTTACTAGAGGCATAAAAAATGCTTTTCAGTATTATACTGATAGCTTGCAACGGGTTTTATAATCTACGGTTTCAAAATACCGGATGTTGGTTAAAATTTGTTCATATTTAATTTAAAATCATTGAAAATTAAATCAATTCTTATAATAATTGATCAAACCCTTATTCTCCCTAAATGCGCACGTGCGTATCGATATATTATCACCAACGAATTGACAATAAAACTTTGTTCGAATCAGGTTGAATTAAAAATTCACAACCATAAAAATTATTTTGTGAACATTTTTATTTAATATTGTCTTCCATTCATTCTTTTTTTATCGGTATTTTTCTCAGTATTTTTATTTTTAATTACTTCTGCATTTCTCGTTATTTTTCTATATGAAACTTTTCAATTTCCTCAAATGAAACGTTATTCTTCACTCCCCTAATTTACCTACATTTTATTTCCTCACATTTTGTCACCCTTTTATTGGTTTTTATTCTATTCACCCATATTGACTTATGATCCTGTCACGTTCGAACACCGCTTCTCGTACGATCGCTGAAGTTAAGCAACGTCGATCCTGGTTAGTACCTACATGGGTCACCACTTAGGAATACCAGCTTGTATGTGCGGGTGGTGTAATTCGAAATTAGAAAACAGAGAGCCCAGTTTCAAATTCCAGTCAGGTCCGTTATATTCACTTATGCGCATATACCGTTGGGAAAGTTATGAATTCGCATATCACCCCCAACTTTGGATTATTAATTAGTATCATTTTTATTAGTAGATCATTATCATCTCCAAAGATTTCTTAAAATAGAAACATATTTTCCGGCTTTAAATAACCTGCAAAAGGTTGATAAGCCATAAAAGGCAAATCAATCAGTCAAAAAACAATTTTCAATATTTTTCTATTCTCTTTTACTTTCATTGTTGCCTATTTGTTTTCATTTTATTTCAATACTCTCCATTTGCCATTGTTCTTACAACTTCTCCCTCCTTTCTCTCCTTTCTTTATACCTTCGTTTTCTTTCTCTTCTTAGTTTTCTTCCATTTTTTTAGTCTTTTCGCTATCCAACTCCACATTCTTATATCCATGAAAAATTACAATTATGTTATTTCCTTTCTACTTATTTTTGGTTCCATCTTCCTTATCATACATACACTTATTTATTCTATTTTCAGTAATTCTAACATCTTGTCCATTCTATTCCACCATTCTTTACTGATATTCTTTGATTCTGTTAGACTTCTACCTTTGCAACCACTGTTATATTCTACCTCTGGTACCAGTACACCTTACTCACTAACATTAATATATATATATATATATCTTTCATCTTTCATTGCAGAATTGAGCGTACCTTTGACATAAACAAAAGAGAAGCGAATTATGAATCATTTTCAGATTGTAAGACAAACAAAAGAAATAGTGAAACGAACACGAAGAAGAAATTCAAAATGGCATCTCGGACACACACACACACACACACACACACACGTGCGCACGCACACGAACACACACACACCATTCTATTTAACCTATGGATCCTATGGATCGTTAAAATTTTTCTTAAATTTAGAAGGACACTACAGCTAATAATTTTACTTTTCAGTTGCATGAGAAAAAGTCACTGAGACAATATTTAGCTATGGGAGTATTATTTTGAATATTATGCCAAATTTTTAAGAAAAAATGCTTCTCTGCGCATGTTTTATATGCATGAGGCCTGATACGATTGTAGAGTCGTTTATGAGTGCATGCAGCTGAAGTGTAAGAATCCATTCCTATTTGCCTATATGTGCATTGTAGGTGTACGCATGTACACACATACACACACAAACGAATGTGCATACATCTCCTGGCCAGCCTAATACAGACTTGTCGTTACCTCCTTGCTTTCCCACCAAATCGTAATATTCATTAAGCCGTCTTCAGTGTCCGTCATTGTTTTGAACCTGAGATCAAAAACAAAAAAATGTCAGCAACGACAAGCCAATATCTTTTCCTTGTCGGCTGTTTACTTGCTTGTCTTTTAATTATGTTGGCTAATATTGAGTGAACCGGTCGCCAACACAACCGGCACTGACGACGCTGACACCATTATTGGAAATGGAGAAAAAGAAAAAGAAGGCACGAGCAAAAGAGTGTTGTATTGAAAAGAAAAAGGGAAAGAGAAAACCGTGGTAAAAGAGAAGAGGTGGTGAAATAAGGAAAATACAGGCCAAAAGTTACAAATATCAAATAAAAAGAAGATAGAAGGGAAAAGAAAAAGTGGCCGGAAAATAAAAAGGCTTCAGTGAAATAGAGTGAGAGAAAAAAAAAAAGAAAGAAAAAGCAAAAGGCAAAAAATACGAAGAGTCTAAATGAAAGCCGCCATGTTAAGATGAGTTAGAAAATAAAGAAAAGGGAAGAAAATCTTGATCGTTAGAAAAAGGGAAGCAGACGAAAAGCCATAGAGGTTTCGATAAACTTTTAAAATGATAAAAATCGAACGATTAACGGAAAGATGAAAAGACATATAATATCGATATGTAAGCCAAGGTAGAGATGAATATTTTGGAATCAAGCCAGTTGAACGAGAAAATGGCAAGAGGAACATTCAAGAACAGATCATCAGAGAAGAAAAAAATTAAGTCAGTAAAACAATCGTAAAATAAGCAAGGATGGAGGGAGAGAGAATATATATTGATTCTGAATACCTTTTGCATTGTTAGAAGAGAGAAACAAGATAGGAGAGAGAAATATCTACACTGAAAAAACAGATTAACAAACAATAACATCTTGCGCGGGAAGAACTTCCCACTTATATCAAGATGGTTCTCGAATACGTTTTTAAAAGTCAGATATGAAAACAATAGTTTTAATTTGTTATATGTAGGAAAGTGAATATTTCAAAGAGAGAATATGTGTAAGAATGTGTCGTTGTGAGTGATGATCTATATTCGATTCTAAAGTCTTTGCGTTCGAGTGCTATGTGTTTACTCAGTATATATGTGAGTACGTCTTCCATTGTGCTTATTTCAAAAGGGGCAAATGCCGTGGCTTTGCCAATGTTTACAAGCAAATATTGACGTGGCAAGCTCGTCCTGTGTTATTCTTTAATCAAACTCGAAAAACTAAAGCAGTAGAATCATCGTTGCATGCCACACGAACAGCATTCCTCGGAGGATGCCACCGGCCAGAAACACACTCTTTTAGCCCCGGGGAATAAAACAGTGCCTGAATTTTCTTCCTCATCAATCCATTAACTTTCTTTGTTTTTCATTTTTCTGCTTGTTGGAATTCTAATCTATTTCCATTTATTCGTATCTATCTATCTATCTATCTATTTCTCTCTCTCTCTCTCTCTCTGTCTATCTATCTATCTATCTATCTATCTATCTATCTATCTCTCTCTCTCTCTATATATATATATATATATATATATATATATATATGTGTGTGTGTGTGTGTGTGTGTGTGTGTGTGTGTGTGTGTGTGACGGTCTATTTATAGCTATCTATGGCAGTCTATTCAAATCTATCTATCTCAGTCTGTTCATGTATATTTCTCTATTCATATTTACCTATCTATCTGTCTTTGACAGTCTATTCATATCTATGTCAGTCTGTTCATATCTATCTATCTATTGATCTATCTAACGATCGATCGATCTATCCTATTTTATTCATATTTTTCAGTTTACCTATCTTACGATGTTCACATTTACGTATCTACATATTCCACCCATCATATTACACAAACGATTGCCCCCTTCACTCGTATGGGTTTTTTTTATATATAAATACTGATAAAAGTATTATTTTTTATACTGAGAGTGTACTGAGTTTTCAGTACAACGAATAACTTCTCTCGCCCAAATTCAGATATTTGGTCATTTAGTCAGATTTGGGGAAGTCCGTTAGGTCGATAACTTATCAGCACCTCCCTTTCGTACTTATCCCGTTTCACATCTTTCTATCTGCCTTTCTTCCCTTCCCCCCCCGACTCCTCTTCCACCTCTTTCTCAAGCCCACTTATCGCTTTAACCTTCTCCTCCCTCTACATTATAGTATTTTCTTCCACCACTCCTCTTCCTCTCAATTTCCAGTTTTCTTCACTTTTTCGTTTATTTCCAGTTCATTACACCAGTCATTTGCATTCCTGCTGATTAAGGGTCCAGTTTTGGTGCGTTTGTGTATTTAGAGTTACAAACAGAACGCTGAAGGCCGCTTGGGGGTGTCAGTGCGCACAGCGTGTAATCACTGGCTTGATTGAGTTTGAGTTTGTCTTTAAGACCCAATGGTAACAGCCACCATCACCCAATAACCTACCCAATCGGGCTACATGCTTTGCAACTATGCTGACTAGAATCACCCGGTTCCATCAGTGGTTCAGTCTTCGTTCACTGGTCTCAAAAGGATGCGGTGTAATAAATATAAATTTACAACAGAGTTTCAAACACATACACAGAAAAATATACGGACTGGAATACACAGACCAAAAATGTGTGTGTGTGTGTGTGTGTGTGTGTGTGTGTGTGTGTGTGTGTGTGTGTGCGTGTTCGTGCGCCCCCGTACCTGTGTGTACAGTATTTGTATTATATGTCTTGGAAACGACAGTAAAATTCGAAAAGTGATCGTTGATTTTGGTATGGATGGAGTAAGTGAAGAACAAGGAAGTTTTAAGGAAAATAAAATAAAAGGATAATTGTATTTAGAATCAGTAAAGTTGTAATTTCTAATGGAAAGTAGGCTTCGAGAATATGATATTCACATGATATAGTGAAGGCAAGATGAGCAAAGGAAAACATCGAGTAGCTTACTTAACAAGGTCGGATAACAGAGCAAAGACTGTGAGATATAGCAGGGAGACAAATATTGCATACAGCCACGAAGGAAAGGAAATTGTGGAGGATCATGATCTCCTACACCATGGACATGGCACATTGCTGTGATATGTGGTCTAGCAAGCCACAA